AAACTGACATACACATAAGTCAATTGTTTTTGTTAGATATGTAACTCGAAGTGTCCTCTCCAAAACTGCATCTAAGTGACATCCTGAAAATTCACGGTTTGGGACCTATGGACGTTAAGTCCCAAATCTAACGGCAGAGGAGTGCCAAGGCTTCGGGAAAACGCCCATAGCTTCTGAAAAACGAATATTTCAGAATGTTATTTAGATGCAGTTTTGTAGAGGACACTTCGAGTTACATATCTAACAAAAACAATTGACCTATTTGCACAGTTTTCAGAGATGCAAACTGACTTTCGAAAGAACCTCTGAGAAACCGTATTTGGAAAACTTTTCAAATATCGATTTTGCTTATAGAAATGCAGCTTCAAGTTTCTAGTTTCAAAAACTGAAAACTGCAGGTTTCTATCGTCTTTCTATCAAAAGTTATTCAAAAAACAACTGAGGCCACTGTTTTTTTGGATGGACAATAATACATGTGTACCTTTTCTTCTTCGTATAAATATAAAAATACTTGATACGACATAGAACAGGGATGTTAATAATAACTTCCATTAGCAGTTATATGCCAATAGTTATTATTATTTTCATCTTCATAAAAATGCTGAACATGGTGCCAATAATCGTCATCCAGAAATCTTGACAATATCTCATCGACCTTGTTTTTATCCGACCATAGACGAATGTCGATTTTGAATGTGACAAATAAAATCTTAGCACACAATTCTTTTACTTTTTGTCCCTCTGTCCATATTTTCGATGGATAATGAACCGCAAGTTCAAATACTTTCAAATTGGGCATCATAGCCAATAAAGTTTGCACATTATCATACCCAAATCCATAATCCAGACACTTCAGCTTAAAATGCTTTAATTTAGAGAGCGATATGTTGCTTGAAATTATTACTGACTGAGTAGATTTTCCGGCTTGTATATTTAAATAGGACAAATTTGAACAATAAACCAATACGTTGATAAGATCATCGGTGTAACAAAAATTCATTGTTAAACTAACGAGATTATTCGATGTCGTCATCAGTAATGTATCATATGGTGATATAACGATTTGCTCCTGATAAGCGGAATCGAATATGAATGTTTTTAATTGCGGAAGACAATTATAAAACAATATCGGTCCTGCAGCAGAGCCTGGTGATATGTAATGTGGAAAATGAACAACAATTATCAATTTCGTTAAAGATAGAACACTAGTTAAATTTAACAATAAGTCTAATATTGAATCTAAATCTCTGTCAACAGTTATTGCCACTGTTTTCAATTGGATAAAGCTTGTTGTAACTAAATACGGTATGAATAGATCCATTTTTTGCGATAATATCATTGAACTTACGTGATCAGAATAATCTGGTAGAACTTGGATACAAAATTGATGAAATTGTTTATCTGGTATAGTATCTGAGTTGAATAACAGGCGAAGATATCTGTGATCCAAGATAGAATTGAAACGATGATTAAGTCCATAAAAGCCGATGTATAGCGAATAGATATCAATGTAAGAAAATATGTCGAGATAAATTTCATTGCTTAAATTCTCAAGCAAAGTAGTTATGATGTCTGACCTAAAAGCATTTTAAAATCAATACTTCGTTTAAATTTTATAGTCTACTCCGATCAACAATAGCATTATTAGTTTAGGATCTCTCTTCTATGGATAGCGGTGCATGTCAGTTTGAAAGAGTAGCTAGTTTTCTGCAAACAGCATGCTGATGGCTTCAACTCACTTTGACAGTTTCTTCATGTCATCCACATTTGCCAAAAATAAATCGTTTCTAGTGCAATAAAGAACTTCTAATCACCTTTTTGGATAATATTTTGCAATTGCGTTCGGTAGTATTAGCAATCACAGAACAATGCACACTTATTATTCTTACAGAACGAAAACAAAAACAGCATAACCATTCTTTCGTTTCAGCCCAATGTTTCGAATACTTTTATGCAGCATTGTGCATACTTTTAAACTATTCATTCATTTAGCTAGACAATATACAAGTTGTGGTACACAAAACGTTTTGCTTCATACCCCATTTTATTATCTTTTTCATCATTATCATATTA